GTTGCAAGTTCTGAAGTAGCATTATGACGGCAGCTGAGTCCTCTTATTATTCGTATCAAAGTTGATCCGCTCGGTTGAATAGGGACATGACTGATCGCAACCGGCAGCTGCCAGACTGCCGCGATCGCCCTCATTGTCTCGCCATGCCGTGCAGCACGGAAGATTGCAGGTTTTAGCGATTACCTATCGTCTCCAGTGGCTGCTTAGTACCGATCTCTCGTGGGGGAGATTTAAGTGGCAGGCACTTAACGAAGGGCGCTTTGCGACACTAGGAGGGTCGGTAACGGGAATCGGGCTTACCTCACTTAGGTAGGTAGCGTCTGACTGCCCAATCAGCACCCGTGGCTGCGCTGGAGAGTGATGGCTTCGGGGGGGGAGAGGCTGCTAAATTTACCTCCCTGACCCCCTTCAGGCCCCCTGCAAGTCACCCCTCCAACGAGGGTAGTGTGGGCTGCTAGCTGGGCTGCCCTGGCCACTTCCAAAACGTTGCTGGTCAACAGGTCAGCCTGGGCTCTCTTGGCTATCTGTTGGCATAGGTAGGAAGACTCGCATAATATCCATTCCCAACCTCACCCGGCCTGCATCTTACAGTGCTCCCCCCTCTCTTTTTTCCACATGTGAGACATACATGTTTACGGCCGGGTTGCGCTTGGGATACCTTTCCAACAGCTGTTCTCGAGAACAACACACTAGTCTGCGAGCGCATGTTGGGGATTTGCTTTCATTGGTCGCCTGCCTATGAAACACTGCATCTGTCGGCATGTTGAACTGCGGCCTCACGTCATCAGTGGCGCGCGCTTCGAGCCTTGCTCTCCTTTGGAGCATCATTCCAGCCGCCAGCAGCCACGCCATTCCACAGAAGACACATACCGTCGAGCTCCGAGAGCTCAATGTCTTGCCATGGCCTCTTCCGACGGTGATGCCCGGGGCCAACCACCTGCTTGGACGACAACTCAACACAGTCTGCGGATATGTAGGAGGGAACCCAGATTTACCGGCTACCTGCTCTGCGGGTTCGCACTGCGCCATTGATGTCGAGCATGGAGTTGTCGGTTGCTGCCCCGACGGCGGCCCTTGTACGCAGGGCGTTTATACTGGATGTGTCGACGGCAACAGCGATCCCCAGACAGAAATCAACCCTTACGTTTATACCTGCGGAGGTGGGAATGTGTGTTATCAGAACCAGTTTGCCGGCGGCTACCACCAGTATGGGTGCGGGTCGGCATCTGACCTGGCGACGACGGTCGCCATGTCTGCGTCGGGCAAACAAACGCTGGACCTGACGAGCATTAGTCTCGAGTTTACTGCGACTGCCACTTCTCTCTCAGAACCGACAACCCTCGGAACCAAGTCCTCGTCCAAGTCGGATTCAAGCACTACGAGTTCTTTGAAGACAACTTCTTCGAAAACCAGTTCCACTGGAACGGCTGGAACGAGCTCTGACTCAAACCCTACTTCAACGGGTGGCGCCAATGGCGGAGATGGTGATAAGGACAATGCAAATGACGAAGCACCAAAGGACAGCAATAATTCGCCCCCCATTGGTGCCATAGTTGGCGGTACTGTTGGTGGCGTCGCCCTGCTCGCTCTTCTAGCCCTGCTCGCCATTTTCCTTATTCGAAGGAGAAAGGAACCCTTGCGCGACGGGCCACAAGGAGAGCCCAAGTTCTCAAGGTATGGGCAATTCTTTCCGGATTCGTATTTGCGTAATGAGAGACCCTCTTTTGCTAACACCAAATAGTTCCGATGATTCTGACAACACGAATGTCTTCACGCCTCTGCACCCAACCCATGAAATGGACCGCTCCTTCGCTCAAACCTACATGAACCCTGTATTACCAGGGGATGCTGTTTACGAGAAAAACCGGCATCACCCAGGCATGGAGCCCGCGCGAGAGGTATCACCAAATGACTACGTTTCGCCAATTACGATTGATGAGCAAGTAATGGCTGGTGGTCGAGGACGGGACATGGAAACGGATCAGCAGCCCTTGAGAGAACCCGAGAACGCCTTCGGCTACAACGGGGCTTTGAGCGCAATCTATGAACTGGACGACGACCCGCAAGGCACTTTACAAGCGGCGCAAAACCGCTCGGTTCAACCCGAAGGCCCTTTGAGTGAACCGCAAGACCATGACCCCACGAGCGATTCATACGAGAGTGCCATCGACCCCTACACCAACCCTTACCGAGGCCGACGGGGCACCGATTCTGGGTCTTTTTGGCAGCAAAACCGCAGGACCACAAAAGACGAGTGGATTTGAAACAGACATCCATCCCTCATCTCTGTTATCATTAATCCTTTTTACGGCGCATTTAGATACCTGGCAGGTCAACTGTGTGTGGATGCCCGAGAGGCGCGTTTCCGGCCATGACTTAATTTTCCCCTCGGTTTTTTGGCCCCGCGGCTCTAACATCCTACCTTTGGGCAAATGCTCTCTCTCTCTTTGGTTGGCCCCCCCCCCGGCCTTCTCGTTACTGGATAGAACAGGAATTTGCATCAATAATGACTTTGTTTGATTTTGGGGAGATTCGCGCAGTGCTTGGTTGGCATTGCCGGCGTTTTGGAAACAGCTGAGCGAAACACACAAAGACGGGAGTTGGTTAGGGGAGCATTGCTTGATGTACATAACACGACTTGATGATTCTCAGATACTTAACTTGTCCATAGATGAGAAAAATTATCACCATGGGCAGCTTCGAAATTGCAGTAGCCAAAATTCGTACTTTCATATTGGGTATAGCCTTCTCGTGAGTGAAACCGGAATGCACGCATGCCATGATCCGCTCCGTGTCTGCATTGAGCCACAGCCCCATGCGATGATTTTGCACGCTGAGCCTGTGATCCTCGACTCTTAACTTAGTTGTCCCCTAAGGAGGCCAATTTCGATGATGCTTCTCCTCAGCCAAGACATCGCACCATCCGGAAAATAAACTGATCTCGACGCCTCCCCGCTAATAGGGCTCAGATCGAGTTATCGTCCACCGTTGATGTTGTACATACAGCTAAATGAAGGTGCTGGGATCGTGTGTGGTTCGTTGGCACCTCTCCACTTCCGCCAACCAGGGACACGGACCTCTCCAGCAGTCTGAAACGCGGCACTTAATTACTACCCCTTGCGTGCATCATCGGGTTAGCCAGGTATTGGCTGGGCACCGACAAGGGCCGCCTGGCTTATCACTCCTGGCGCGTAAGCTGGCGGGAAAACTTGGCGCAGTAGCAGGGCAGTAATAAGCCGAAACAATGGGCTGTGCGGTGAGATGAGGCGGTGCCAAGGCCGCGCTTAAAATGTGATGTGCTTCAAAAAACCAACGACCAACCGCGGTAAATGTGTATTTGGGCTATGTACTGTTTGTGTTCTCTTCAGTCTGGGTGGGAGAAGTCATCGACCATATCTTGAGGGTAGATTCATCGAGCACGGAACACTGTGATCTAGGCACGTCATGTTCGTCGTCCGCGTTCTCACTTTCAAATGTTTTGGGATGTTCCCAGCCACCTGAGCATGTAGCAGCAACTGAGCCGCTTGAGTGAACTACTGTACTTCCTATTGGTGACTGGTGGGCTTTCCAGTGCCAGGAAGGCTCCATACCGTATTCACTGTGAAGACCAACTCCATCCCAGACAACGACAGTGCCGTCCTGTGTCCCGGACCAGACCTCAAAACCTCCTTCCGCACTGGGAAATACATCGCAATGGAGCCTCTGCTGGGTGCCAGTGGAGCGACCCTTTAGGATGCTGAGCAATTGACCTGTGACTCTAATGTCGTAAAGCAAGAGCCCATTGGCGTTCCGCTCGTTGATGACCAGATACCTCCCGCAAGGGCTCCAGAGAGTCTGGGCGATCCCTTGCCCGCCAATTGCTACATCCGACACCTCGTTGGCAGCGTGCGCGATGCTCCAGTTCGCAACGGTTTTATTCTCGCGGTAGAGGTCGTACAGACCAACCCAGCGAGTCCAAGTGCCGGCTGCTATTATAGAGGAGCCATTGGCGTCAGCCGGGGCGGTAGCGAGTGAGGACACGGTCCCCTTCATACCAACCCCGCCACCTTTGGAAACATGTCTTCGGGATGGAATCGTAGGCACCGTCAAGATGGGCCCGTCAGATCCTTGCCGAGACACGTCAAACAGGTCTAGCCGGTTGGCAGAGCCGCACACAAAGTGCGTGCCAGGATAGTCCCAAGCTAGAGCTGACGGTGTGATGTATGCCTCGGTTTCCTGTTTGATAAGCTTGTAGCCACACAAAGGCCTGGAATGGCCCTCGGCGGGGAACGCGTGGTATAGCTGCAACGGATGCTCACGACATGCCACCAAGAAGGTCTGCGTTGCTGGCTCCGCGAGCGAGAAGTAGGGAGCAGGTGCAACAACTCGGGGCTGTTCAGGAAGCTTGGTGAGGGATTGGGGGACCAGCGGGCGTGGATCCGACGCCTGGAGGAGATCGTCCGGTATCACAAACGTTGCAATTGATTTGTCAGAGGATGTTGCAACTAGAGACGAACCATCTGCTGTCCACTGGACGGCCGTGAAGAAGGAGTCGGGTCCACTTTTCGTATCATGGGAATGTTGACTTTCGGCGTTTTGATAGTTGGTGATGGTCGAATTGGGGATCTCTGCAACGAGACGGATTTCAGGCCCTGCCTTTGGCTCAGCCTTGGAGGAACTAGGTGTAGACGTTGATCTATCACTGCTTCCGTACTGGGGATCGTCCATTGCAACACGAGAACACGCTTGTCATCTCCGGGTGCAACAAACTAGCAGCTTGGCGTTTGCATGATGCTCGTATTCTAAATATGCGTGGTGTGCGGCTGTCAAGGAAGGCTGGGTGATCTGCTCAGGTACGAGCCACCCACCTGAGCAAGCAAGCAAAGAAGCCACAGGTTCGCCAAGAGTGCTCTGCGAGAAGTTTCGGAGGAATGAAACCTGCTTCGCCTCAATGTGATCAGCTGTTGATGGATTTGCCTGAGACAGCAGTCCGACAACGGGTCCTATATTTGTCTATGGCAATGCGTGATCAGTCGCAGGTGGTTGGTCTCCAGCAGCCTGCGGTTGATGGATTCCCACTTGCCAATGGACCCTGGGTGCCCAAGAATATGGTAAATTACCATCCAGGCCGGTCCCAGTTTGCGAACGCAAAGATGGTCCAATCCCACTTTTAGGGGTTTTGCTTTGGGCGAGATGCAGGTCCCACCTTGTCGGGACGACGTCATCAGCGCACGCTGGCTCGGTCTGGCATCGCTGTACCACAAGGAACCGCGCAGGCTAGACACGTCACTGTTAGGTGCCGAGGGGCTGGCCATGTACCTCTGCACACAAAATAACGCACCGCGTGACCTCAACGTCCCCAGGGGACTATGACGACCCCAAGTCTAATTGCATCCATTCCAGTGGGCCCTTCCGCTCGGCGAGGCGGCCATGGGCTGTTGCCAGGGCCTTTACACTGGGGCGTCGGTGCATTTAGTGGCTGCTGGCCGCCCGTGCACTGCAGCCCCAGGCAGACGGATGGGTTCAGGTTGTCTCTCCGTCCATGCACCTGCTCACCTCACCTTCCCTTCCACATCCAGACTGCTGCTCAGTACCACCGTTCTTGCCCATTCCTGCGCATGCTGCTTCCCTGCCTGTTCACTCACGCGTAGCCAATCGTCTGGGCTGCCAAAACGAACCGCCCTACTCCCCGTCTGACCAGCAGCCCGCCTGGCCTCCTCTTGTCTCCTACCGCCTCATCCGGCACAAGATGGTTCCGTAGTCCGTCTTGCGCTGCGGCTCAATCTATCAAGATCACCTAGATCTCAGTTCTCGATTATCCCCGATAGCACGTACGCACGCCTCACCCTTCTATCGAACCCCCGACCGAATTGCACGGCTCCGTAGACATAACGCGGCCAATCACAAAAGTTAGGCAGGGCCTGGCTGTCGACCATCCGAACTTCTCTCAAAGAAGGCATCTCCTCTGAAAAACAGCCGACATGGAAGCCCTCGATGCATCAAGCTCCCAGTGCGGGGCATACCATGAACCTTCATACCTCGAGCTGACAGTTTCAATGTGAGTGGACGTCGCAGCCCTATGGAGCGTTCTCAATTAACAAGCATATGCAGTGTCATTCTCCTCGGTCTGTTCGTCTCATATCTCCCCCAACACTACCGTATCATTTCACGAGGTACATCCGAGGGAATATCCCCGTACTTTGTTCTGCTTGGTACGACGTCTGCGACCGCTGGATTCGCCAATATTCTCACAGTCCCGCCATCTCGCGCCGCCATTGGCTGCTGCAAGGAACTGGATACCTTTGAGTGTGCTGCAGGTTTACTGGGCGTCGCACAGCTTGGTGCACAGTGGCTCTGCTTTGTTTTCATGTGAGTATTTACTGTATTTGTCTTTGCCCGGGTATCACCACCCTTACTAATCATCGCGATGCAGCCTCGTTCTATTCCTCATTTTCTTTCGATACCGAGGAGCTTCTGTGCCCCAGGAAGAATTGGCCGGTGATGCCCCAGGCTGGCGTACTGCAGCAACTGTTGGTCTGCTATGCATCTTCCACGGGTTGATTGTGATTATCTTGACCGGCGTCTTTGTCATTGCACTCCCCAGCCACCTCAACTTCTGGGCGAATTTCCTCGGCGTCATGGCAGCTGCATTGGCGGCGGTTCAGTACATCCCCCAGATCTGGACGACTTATAAGCTAAAGCATGCTGGAAGTCTGAGCATTCCCATGATGTGCATTCAGACTCCCGGGGGTCTACTCTTCGCTGCAAGCCTCTTCGCAAGACTCGGCTGGGAAGGCTGGAGTACCTGGGCCATCTATCTATTGACAGCTGGCATGCAAGGAATGGTTCTATTCTTGGCTATTTCATACGAACTCGCGGCACGACGCGAAAGGCCTGTCTACAATTACACCGAAAGTGCACCCGCGTCTCCTGTCGATCGATACCACTCCAGCCGGCGACCAGTAGCAAACCGGACATATTCGGAAGGGTGGGAGCGTGGTCTCCCAGGGCCATTTACAGGCCACCCCGAGTTGTATGCGGAAACTGAAGAGGACTTGGACGATATTCAGGAACGAGAGGAGCGGGCCATCGCCCGAGAGAACCAGCCTCTACTGAAGCCTGGAGGGATCGGGAATCCCCACAAGACCTACAACTCAAATCACCATTAGTGGAGTTAGCACTTTGTTTTTTCATGTCAGACTTTTGGGTACGACCAGACTTACTAATTGAAGCTTATTGATCACGGAGAAACATGGGAGTCAGTCATTGAATCATTGAAAGGACTCATTGCTATAGGACCCAGTTCAATTGATACGATATTTCCTACTAGAGCTGATGATCACTTGCATTCAATTCGCTGTCAGATGTGTATGAATCGTGCATTCAGTTGGCGGCCGAGCCAGACGGGGTTGGATTAGCTCATAGAGTTTTCCCCTGGAAACCTTACCAACATGCACACTGCATGGTGCACGCGGGCAAAGGGACTAAAGCAGACACATTGGTTGCTTTCTGCCTGGCGTTCTGACTCACTGAGACGTGATTAGTATTGCGACATTCAGCGATTACTGCTGTGATTCATAGTGACTCAGACGATGATTGCTAGCCGCAAAGTCCCGCTCGTATCGCGGGTACCGGATGGTCATCCTCACTGAGTAGATGGGTTGGGGATGCAACTGCTGATAGAAGCTCAAACTGTACTGACAAAGGCACATCATGAGCCATGAGCACGCCACTATTAGAAACTTAATGGAACACCTACGTCTTACTAACGCAACAGCTGGCTGCCTCGGAGCGACTTCATGACCTAGAGTTCCGAGACAGCAAGGTACTGTACATCGGAGCTTCGATTCCGTGGAGCCCAGATGCCTTATCTTCCCTCCACCTGGCTTGCGCTCGCCCACTGATTGGCCCCTGACCCATGCCCCTGACCTGCAGGCAGTCTCGACGTCTTTGACTACGATCCCCGTGTGACCGCACTCCTCCACATCCCCATTGACTACCGACGCCCTTAAGCTCAACCCTCTCGGGACCCTTTTCTTACTCAATCGCGACACCTACAGCCATTCCTTACACCTAACACCTCGCAGCACACCTATTTTCCTCTCCCAGGCTTTGATCAGTATAATTGGCCTCTTCATCCCTACCTACATCCCAACCAGGTACCTACTGATATCTTATCTCCGCCCGTTATCGATACGACCAACCGCGTAAAGTGATCATGGCGATGTACAGCGCAGTCCCTCCACCCGCCGAGCTGGCCGCTGATCCCGCAGCGACAAACCCTCTCTCGGCCCTCAAGTCCCAGGCAAATCAATCGTCAACAGGCGTGGACATCGATGCCTGGACCATCTCGGCCCTCCAGTCGCTCAGCGTCTCCCCCGTCGCCCGCGGCACCGGCACCCCGCTCGCCATCGCCATCGACTCGGAGCATCCCAAGCGATCCGTGGGGTTCACCCCCGAGGCCACACGCACAGATGTACCCAGGAGACCCCCCTCGCGGAGGGACAGCATGAAGAAGAGAGACGCCGTGCTGAAGGGAAATGAGGGCAGCCGCCAGCGCCGGCGATGGGAAAATGGTAAATAGCGAATTGCACAACCCCCTTCCTCCCCCTCTTGCTTTGTCCGATCCTGGATCTTGCTTTTCCCTCCCCCCCCCCCCCTTCGGGTAATGAGACAGGTGGCTAACCAGGCATCTGTTCTCTGCCGCAGACCGCCTGATGCACGTCCCCAACGCACAGCCCCCGGAGCCCCGAGACTGGGAGGTCCGCGCCACGCACACCGTCCACCACATCCCCTACCAGCTGGCCCAGTTCTGGGACGTCGGCGTCCGCCAGCGCGTCGAGGACAAGACGGCCCGCCTGGCCGCCCAGAGGAAGAAGCAGCAGCTCAAGAGCGGCAGCGCCACGGGTCTGGGCGCCGGGGAGGTGCCCCGCGACCTCCGCGAGTCGGCCAAGAGGAGCCCCGTCGTCAGGAGCTGGGTCCGGGCCCTGGAGGAGCCGGTCCGGGGTTACCTGCGGGCCCGCGCCGACGAGAGGGAGCAGGACCTGCTCGACGACAGCGCGGCGGGGGAGATGGACTCGGACGACGAGGAGATTGTCTTTGTGGGGCGGAGCGGCGCCATGAGGGAGCTGAACGGCAAGGGCGGCGGCGGCGGCGGGTGGAAGAGGGCGCATCGGGAGGTGTCGCATGAGACGGTCGACTCGGGCATGGTTTTCGATTCCTTCGGTGAGGGTGAAGGGGCTGCATACAAGTGAGTATCACCCCCAAATACCTTTAATGATATCAACTAACCGTATTTCCTTTAGGCGGTGGCTCACCCATGCTATTTGTGACTATTATGGCCTTGAATCCAAGTCCGTCACTTTGGCAAATCCCTCTCGCCGTGTGGTGTACGTCGGTATCAAAGAGGGACAACGCCGACACGGATCGCACTTGAAACACTTTCCCCGACCGATGTGGGAATTGTGCTGATGGCAAGAATGAGGTACATCTGTTGGGGCGACCAACTAAATAGATGCTGTATTTCACGGTTGATTGCTACGTCAGAAGATCATCTATAGATTGCGGCCATGGGTTGCATAGAACAGTGTGATATAGAAACACGCCCTGTTCGATGTCTCAAGATGGTCTTCTACATGTCAACCTCCAGCCAACTTCACAAGCGTAGATCTCCCTCCCCCACAGATTCTACCATACTAACTAGCCTATGTATTACGTACATGGCATGATCACATCGGTGCTCGCTCCCTCTTCATTTTCGAGCAACGTACGTCAACCATCTCCCAAGATGCTATCACACTTACACAAGGCATAAATATCTCATCCCCAAGCTTCGTCCAAGATTTTACTGACCCCTTCGAGTTGTTTCTGTCCTCCTAAGATCTGAGCGTATTTTGAAATGCGTTCTTGGATTGGCATTACGAGGAACGAAACCAACCCGCGATTTCCAGACTCCTCGAACAACACGCCTGCGAGCACCTGAGAGGCCATGGCATTCATCCCAGCTTGCCGGAGAAACATCCCCCAGTTGGTCTCCTGGCATGTTAGAAAACGCTTAATTTCGAGAACATATGGCGTGTAATGGGACATGAATGATGCAATCCACTTGGCGAGTGTATCGGTTGCGCCGGGAACGTAATGAGATATCACATTTGCGCCAAGACTGAGAGTAAAGTTTACGAATTCCGCATATGCAGCCACATCAGAGGGGTTTGGGTTGCCGACGACTTCCCCAGACAAATTTTCTTCCGATACTAAGACGAATAGCGTTTCATATCTCTCACTTGCGGATATGATTCGTGCCTGTAGCTCCGGTCGTTTTGTTGATCCCGGAAGTTGTGTTTGTTTAGCCTTGACAAGGCTCGTGATGATTATGCCTACGCTGGATGTGAGAATTATATCACAATCAGATAGTTCAGGTGAGTTGGAGCTTTCTCGGCCTGTTTCGTCGGCATCCGACAAGTACCAGTTTTTGCAATTTGAAATATCTCGATCGATCAAACATCCTGGAGGCCAGTATCTCTCCAGCTGACGAAGAATATAATGGTCGATGTTAAGTGAAACCAGGAATACACCGTGTCGGTCAGGTTCAGTGAATTTTGGTACTTCAGCTGGAACTAGTTCAGGGGTACTTGTTGAAGGCAATGCTGATTCTGAGCTGACAATAGTTTGGGCTGCTTGACGCCCGTATTTATTTTTTGAACTCGTGTCGGGATGTTCGCTGGGCTCGCCAGAGCTGGGCACTTCTGATGAACTCTTCGCACCACTCAGTTCCATGAAGCTTGCTAGTAACTTGCTAGTGGCTGCTCCGTCACTAGCTAGAGGAAGAAATAGATCCGGTTTCTTGTTCATGTTTGATCTTGGTAAATGCCCTAAAGATGAGAAACGGATAGATTCAAGGAAATTGAATTCGGGTTCTTGGGATATTTGACCCAATGTCCGATCGGAGGAGGTGGCATGATCGCTCGGAGAATTCAAGGACTCGCTTTCGCTTATGTCCTCCAAATCTTTCTCATCAAAAGTAAGTATGGCTAATTTTCTCTCTTTGGTTGCGTGATCGAAATTTCCCTTTCGAGGCGAGGATGGTATAGCCAGAAGTTCTTCACTTTTATCAGTGAGTGGTTCGAGGTCCTCTATTGCAGAGAAGTGGCCTATTCTAGAATGGTTAAACGGATCCCATTTCAATATGGTTGATAGCTCAGAACTGCATTGCTCCTTGTGGATGGAAAAGGCAAGCTTATTCTTGGCATTCATCCTGCGAAATAGATCTTTCGGTTCAGAAATACCGGTGTATTCCTCGGGTGGTACATAAAGCTCTAGCCGAGGGACTGGGACCCGAGAAATGGACTCGTGGGGGTTGAAACACTCCTGGCCGACCAGTAGCATTGATCTGGAATGGCAAGCTTCAACTGTCGCGTTAAAAGCTTCGTCAAAGAACCCGCCAATTGGCTCATCAATTGGGTCCTCTTCGTTACAGCCCGTGTTCAGCTCTAGGATATCGTTCTGGAGGGCATTCTCGTATGTCCTGGTTGACGAAGCGCTAGATACAAGTGGAACATCTAGTCTAGGGTCTTCTTTCGAATGGGTTGAAATTGCCAAAGTGATGGGAGATGTTTCAAGACTAGGGAAATTCTCATAACTGATCGGAATTGGCGGTCCAGGGTCTGGAATCTGCTGCACCACCTTCTCAAAAGTCATATCCTTCTCCGGACTATCAGGCTCCGACGTTAAGTCAATTATACATACCCCTTCGCTTGGCACAAAATAGGCGTTTCCGTCGTCATCACCATCGTCATCGGAAACTGGAGACAAGGGCGGGCTAACCGGTAGCAACTCTTTTGCCCTATATTTCGCACATGGGAAATCCAGCCTTACTGGTAGCTTCCTAGGTGGACATTTTTTAGGGTTCGCTACTTCTGCCTCCAATTCCAGTGACGTTTTTGAAAGCTCGATCTGCTCCTTGTCGAGTGCTCGTAGGAGAAGGGAGTGAACCCAACTGGATCTCTCTGGAAACGATAAACCCTCGTCGTGTCTTGTTTCGGTTGGGCATAACGGAAGCCATTGATCGACCAATCGGCATGAGTTTGCAGACTCAACCAAGGTCAAATATTCCTTGACGTCTTCCGCTGGGTCGGATCCAACATTAACAAGCTCCAGAAGGAATCCACGATCTCTGAGGGACCTGGCGGGTTGAAAAGCGAACGATGGGGGCGACGAGCAATTTGCAAGAGTGTCGAAATCCTAGTGAGACTCGTGTATATTCTCGGGGCTAGAGATGTCAAGATCAACCTGAGTTTCTGGGAGGCGTGCGGCTGCCAATCCATCTTGGTCAATTAATCCTTGCGCGTCTCGAGCCTCGTGGGAGGGAGAAAGGGTGAAGACACATGACTCGAATCGGTAAGGAGCTTTGCGATGATCCCAGGTGCATTGTTCTTTCCGCGCATACGATGCAGCAGTTTCATTCTCTTCATACTGGTCGTCTCCCCTGGGATCATTTTCACCAAGTCTTCTTTTGACGGGTGTATTCCTGGGGGTGTCCATGGTCGAACGGAGTTGAGCATGTCTAAAAAGTAGATGAATTGAGATTACGAACTCCGGAGCTGGGATATTGTATGTGCATGGATCTAAAAGTCTCTCTACACCAGGACCGTCTAGTTTATGAGTTCTTCGCGGAAGGTAAGGGCAGTTGGTTGGTATCCGGAGAGCTCTTTCCTGTTTGAACCAGGCGTCTAGCTGAACTTGCAGTTGCGAAGACAGTACAACTAGCAATAGGTAAGGTATCTACCCACCCAGCATTTTTAGTTGATCACCAGAGTCTAAGCACCAATAAAGCAATATGTGGTAAATAACTTGATTTATGCGAATATGATCTTTTGATATTGTGTTGAAATACCTAGGTGGTGGTCAATCGTGTGCAGGGTAAGCAAAGTAGTATGTCGCGGTGGCCCTGGAAGGCGCCACTAACTCCGATATTTGGTGACGCATTTGAGTCGCGCCTATCTCCGCAAGAGGAACCCCGTCCGAGGTGTAGCTCTCCCCGCTATAAAGCTTGGGAAGCAGACCAACTTTCTTCTACAGCTGGACGCATCGTGCCGTGCTTCTCGCCTGATGGTTTAATCATGTCGTACATCGCGCCGGTACATCTGGCCACGAGCATTCGGCATGCACTGTGGATGAGGTTCCTCTCTCCAGACCAGGAAGACCTCGTGCTCTCGTAGGTGGTCCCGATGCTTCCACCGCGTGCCTATCACACCAGGAATGACACCGACTAATCCCAATGCTGGCAGGAAAGCGAATCGAATCGAGATATGGCAGCTAGACGAAGATGGCTTGACGAAAAAACACTCCGTTGTCATTTACGGCACGATCGTTATGCTTCAGAGACTCCAGCCGAAGGACTCCGAGACCGACTTGCTTTTCGTAGGCACTGATAGACAGCATTATTTCACTCTTGCGTGGAATTCGGAAACTAAGGAGGTTGAAACTGTCACCGAAAAGTATATCCATGATGAAGCCGAACCGTTCATGCGCCATTCGCAAAGCCAAAACAAGTGCTTGGTTGACCCGACCGGCAAGTTTGTGGTTATGCATCTCTGGGAGGGCGTCTTGACCGTTTTTAAGCTGCGCACAAGAGGGCGGGAGACAACTAGATTGGATGCGATAGCTCAAGTAAGGCATACCGAACTCTGGATGAAGGCCAGCGCCTTCATACACAGCCGAACCGGCCATCCGAGAATTGTTTTTCTATACAAGAGCCAGCAAGAGCACGAGGAGGCGCGTATCGCAGTATATCGCTTGACCAAGGATGACAGGGGTGGAGAAGTCTCCAAGTTCGACCCTCAGAAAGACAGGGAGCTCGACGAGAAAATCAAGGATCCGTTTGCATCGATGATTATACCTGTTCCTGTTCCCGAGGAGAAGCGATATCATGTTCGCAAATCGGAAGGAACGAAAGCCCATCTTGGAGGCTTCCTTGTTATTGGCGAGACGCTATTGACTTATTTCGACAGCTTGACTTATACCAGTCTGTCCTCGGGCTTGAGAGAACCAAGGATCTATATTTCATGGGCACAATACGACGCGACGCACTATTTCTTGGCAGATGACTATGGGCGCATGGATCTTCTCACAGTTGAGACGGCAAGCGAACCTACTGGCGAAGTTGTGACGGGGTTGAATGTATGCCCGATGACATTCATAGACACGGATTTTCCAGCGACAGCCAGAGCATCGAGACTGGTCTATCTTGGTCAAGATATCTTATTCTTAGCATCCCATCATGGAGACCCTCAGCTCTTACTTGTGAACACAGACTCCAAAGAAATGAGACTGCTTAAGAGTTTCTCCAATAACGCACCAATACTGGATTTTGCGGTTATGGATATCGGTAATAGAGAAGGAGACCAGCAGGCTGGAAATGCTTTCTCTTCTGGGCAGGCTAGAATTGTGGCCGGCTGTGGAGCTTATCACGACGGCACGCTGAGGAGTATTCGAAGCGGTGTTGGCCTGGAGGACTGGGGTATCCTTTTTGACCAAACGGATACCCGAGCCCTGTTCACGCTGAAGTCACATGGAGCAAAGTCCGTTGACACGCTCGTGGTATCACTGATAGATCTGACACGGGTATTCAAATTCGATGCGGACGGAGGTGTGGAGGAGGTATTCAGCCATGAAGGAATAATAATGGAATCAGAGACTCTACTGCTAAGAAACTTGCCGACGGGACAAGTTTTGCAGGTAACACCACGATCTGTTGCCTTGATAGATCCCGAGAGTGGCGTCGCTGCTTCAAGTTGGACAAGCCCTGAGGGTAAAGTGGTGACTGCTGCGTCAGCGAATGACAAGTGGTTATTGCTAGCCATCGACGGTTCTGTTCTCGTTCGTTTCAACCTCGAGAATGACCTGGAGGAGCTTTCTCAGTCTCGAGATACAGGATCGAATGATCTTGAGAACCAAATATCGTGCATACACGCTGCTCAGAACCCCCAGAACCTGGGAGTTGTTGGCTGGTGGGCTTCTGGTACAATTTCTATCATTGATCTTGCCACTCTTCAGCCGATTCATGGAGAGTCTCTGCGTCAATCCGATGATAGCGCCTCGGTTCCCAGAGACATAGCACTTGTTCAGCTCCATCCCGCGGAGACTTCTGGCCCTACTCTGTTTATCGCTACCGAAGACGGCAATGTGATCACATTCAACGTTTCTATTAACAACTTTGAAATATCTGGACGAAAGACAGTGACGCTCGGAAACGGCCCCTCGCGATTCCATCTCCTGCCTCACGGCGATGGGGAGTGTAGCATTTTTGTTACAACGGAATTTGCTAGTTTGATCTATAGCTCTGAGGGCAGAATTATTTATTCAGCAACGACTGCCGATGACGCGACATTCGTCGCACCCTTTGACTCAGAGGCGTTCCCCGGATCGATCATTATTTCAACAAATGACCATGTGAAGCTTAGTTTTGTTGACAGAGAACGTCTGACCCATGTCAAACCCTTGCGTGTTCGAGAAACTGTCCGACGAATAGCGTATGCTCCTGATTCGAAGGCGTTTGCCATTGCATGCATCAAGAAGGAGTTGATTCAAAGCGAAGAGACAATCACCAATACGATCAAACTGGTTGATGAGATTATCTTCCAAGAGCAAGGCACACCATTTTTACTCGATGGTTCGACAGGAACTGAGCTCGTTGAATGCATGATTCGTGCGTCACTCCATGATTCCAACGGAAACCCTGCGGAGAGATTAATAGTAGGGACGAGCTTCGTTGAGAATTCGCCATCTTTGACCCCAGGAAGTGATATCCAGGGCCGTATTCTGGTTCTTGGTGTCGATCAGAACCGGCAGCTTTACCAAATCAAAGAGATAAAGCTTCGCGGGAATTGCCGTTGCCTGGGTATCATGGGGGATCATATTGTGGCAGGACTGACCAAGACCGTGGTGGTTTTTAGTTACTCCGAGGACACCACTGCGACGGCCCAAGTTGAGAAATTGGCCTCGTACCGACCCGCGAGTGTTCCCGTATCCTTTGACATTACGGGTAATTTCATTGGTATAGTAGACCTGAGCCAATCCATGGCCTTGGTTGAGTTTGTTCCACGCCAGGGCGTAACGGCCGCGAGGCTCGACGAGCGGGCAAGACACTACCACCCGTCGTGGTCAACGGCTATTTGCGCGTTAGATGACGAGAAATGGTTGGAGGCAGATTCAAAAGGAAATCTTGTGGTCTTGAGACAAAACAAAGAAGCACCATTGGAGCAAGATCGGCAAAGGATGGATATTATCAGTGAGTTGAATATCGGAGAGCAAATCAACCGGATCAGGAGGCTTTATGTTGCACCAGACGAGAATGCTGCCGTGTGGCCAAAAGCATTCCTAGCCTCAGTGAGTAACCTTGGAAGACCGCTACCCATCACGTTCCACTAACATCGATATGTTCAGTCTGAAGGATCCGTCTACATGTATGGTGAGGTTGCTCCAAGGTATCAGGACCTGTTGATCAACTTCCAAAGTAGCCTTGCCCGCCATGCGAAGCCCGTGGGCGACATTAATTTTGACCTATGGCGCGCATACCGTTCTGAGGCTAGAGAAAATAATGGGCCTTTCCGGTTTCTTGACGGGGAAATGTTGGAAAGATTTTTGGATATGAACGAAAGCATGCAGGAAGAGGTATGCGAGGGCTTGGGACCCAGTGTCGAGGATATGCGTAACATTGTCGAGGAGTTGCGAAGACTGCATTGATCAATAGACAAAGAAGGGCAAGGCGCATCTCGTACGATAGATCTGTCTGGGCGGTATAAATGAGTTGCACGACTATGTAGATGACTTCAATGATTCGGACTTTGTAATAACACTGCTGTTAACTATTGGTCTCAGTCCGAAAAGCCGGTGATATCAAAGCACAACACATCGAGGCATCCATGGCTTCCACATCATGATGTCCCCCCGTTTTTTGTCACCCTGGTGGCTGACGTTAGTGTGCCTGTTCCACGGAACGAGGCGGAAACAAGGTCAATTGGAGCAATTGGCTGCTGGCCTGCATATGACATTGTTCAGGAGTCTGCTATGGGCCAATTGAGAAATTTAAGCATACAAGGGAATCTCGAGTCTAACAAACAATATCCCTCTCACTGATATCCGCTGAGCCGCAGGCAGTTTTGGTGCTGTTTCCAGGCCCAGGCCTGAGGTAGGTGCCAGCCTATCAGCCCACCCGATACAAACGGAACAGATCGGGACCCATCCCCAGCAGCCCAGCCAATCAGCGCAGCCCAATTAGGAGCTCTAGCACCCGTTGCAGCCTCAGGCACCGCCCCCAGGTCCAAAACTTTCGGCAAAGCATCATCACACCCAAAAACGAAAAGACCTCAAACCTCCCTTCGCCCTCCGAGCCCCGACCACCACCGTCCACACGAGACCCCCGCACACGACGATGGCGCCTCTGACGAACGCAACCCGCGTGTGCCTGCGGGCCAGCAAGGCCACGGCCGTCCGCGCCGCCGCCCTCAGCACGACCGCAGCGACCCGAGGCGACTCGGCGGCCGCCTACACGCAGTACAGCAGCCCCTTCAAGCAGGGCGGATCCAAGGGCAGCAAGATCCCCGACTTTGGCAAATACGTCTCCAAGAACGCCGGGGACTCCAACAAGCTCGTCTCCTACTTCATGGTTGGTGCCATGGGCGCCATCACCGCCGCCGGCGCCAAGAGTACCGTCCAGGGTATGTTCCACCACCACCACCAACATGTGACTCGCGGGGGGGAGAGCCACTGGGAGAAGCCATTGAGTGATGGGAGCGCCGCGAGAGGGCGCAGGATCGACGGATTGGGCCGTTGCTGACGATCCGTGATTGCAGAATTCCTGGTCAACATGTCCGCTTCCGCCGATGTCTTGGCCATGGCCAAGGTCGAGGTCGACATGAACAACATCCCCGAGGGCAAGAACGTGAGTTTTCTATGGGATCGTCGACGGCCAATTGGATAGCAGGAGGGGCTGACGGAGTGAATAATAGGTCATCATCAAGTGGCGAGGAAAGCCCATCTTCATCCGCCACCGCACCCAGGAGGAGATCAACGAGGCCAACAAGGTCAACGTCGCCTCGCTCCGAGACCCCGAAACCGACGACCAGCGTGTCAAGAACCCCGAGTGGCTAGTCATGCTAGGTAAGGAGCTTCCCCGTACCCTTAATTGTTGGCGAGTCGTGCTCGCGCGAGCTCGCCCCCGTTTGGTCGATGAATCATTGACGAGCTGACAAAATACTCTTTCTAGGTGTCTGCACCCATCTTGGTTGTGTCCCCATTGGCGAGGCCGGCGACTACGGCGGCTGGTTCTGCCCCTGCCACGGTTCTCACTACGACATCTCCGGCCGTATAAGAAAGGGACCCGCCCCTCTGAACCTCGAAGTCCCTCCCTACGATTTCCCCGAGGAGGGCAAGCTGGTTATCGGTTAAGGGAGCCGCAATAGGCTGCGGGTGTACGAATAACTTTGAATGGGGGCTAGCGGATAAACACATATTGTAGACCGGACTGGGGAGGAGGAGAGAGAATTGGGTCGGTGATAGTAAAACAAGCCAACATTTGTGTGGGCACAACTCTTGTTTCTTAGACCTGGGCTTGTGGCCTATTCATTGTATAAATCATACAACGTCCTAAATAATTTGGTTACAAATGGTGTCTTTTTGGTGAATGTGAACCCCACAAGTTTCAGTTAATGTGATGAGACAACAAGTTCTATCTACAGTCGGGCAAGATACATGATTGACGGATAAATTATTGATTTGTAGATTCATTCAGAACTCCAAAGTCTACATTGAAGGCCTTCTCTATTTTATCATAACCACTTTTAATGTCCATGACCATCGTCCTCTTGTTGCTCGGGATCCAGCTTGATGAGGGTATCGATACGCATGATGCTGATGCAGGCCTCGACGGCACTCTTGAGCTGCCGTACCTTGCTCATGCTGGGCTCCAAAACACCAATCTTGAGCTCATCAACCACCTTGCCGCGCATCAGGTCCAGGCCGTAGTTCTTGTAGCCCTTCTTGTGAGCAATGGTCTTTTCGTTCTCGTTGGCATCACCCTCCTGGATGCGCTGAGACAGAGCATGTCTCGAGCGAAGCTGTGCAACAAGCTCTGCAGAGTCCTTGGCGGCGTTCACAGCCAGAGTCTTGGGAATAATGAGAAGAGACTGGGCGAATTCGCCAATGGCCAGCTGCTCGCGAGAGCCAACAGTTCCAGCGAATTCCTCCAGGTAGATGTGCAGGGCAGTCTCAACAGCTCCTCCGCCAGGCACGATGCTGCCGCTCTCTAACGTTCTCTTCACAGCGAATAAACTGTCGTGCATCGAGCGCTCCATCTCATCCAGAGTGTAGTCATTGGGTCCTCGCAGGATGATGGAAGCAGAAGAGTGCTGCTTGGTTCCCTTGACAAGAATGCACTCGTCATCTGAGATACGCTCCTGCACAACCTCTTCGGCATATCCCAGGTACGAGGGGTCGAACTTCTCGTCACCATTCAGGTCGGAGAATGTGCTGAGCATGGTGGCACCCGTGGCCTTGGCGATTCTCCTCAGGTCCTCCTTCTTGCATCGTCGGACACCCATGGCACCTCGCTCGACAAATGTCTTCAGAATTAGGTCATCAATACCCTTTGTGGTGAGGACGACATTGGCACCGGCCTTGAACATGAGCTCAACTCGCTCGAGAATCATACCGGCCTCACGAGCGCGGATCTGCTCCAGCTGCTGAGGATCGTCGACAACCACCTGGACACCCAGCTTCATCTTCTCCTTTTGTAGGTTCATATCCAATATGGCAATCTTGGCATCCTTGATGCGTGTAGGCATAGCCTGGGAGGCTACGGTGCAGTTGAGAGCATAGCCCTTGACAAGTACAGATTCGCGAACACCCTTTCCGTGGGCCTTGAGAATGTTGACAGCCTTGACGGGGTATTTGGACTCGTTCTTGTTGTTTGTAGTCTGGACAGCCTTGATAGCATCGACGGCCATTTCGGCGAAGAAATCATCGTCGGCACCAATAATCTTGCTGGACATGGAGGTCTTGGCAATCTGCAGGAGCGATTCACGGCCGAGGTTCTCGACCTTGATGCTGACGTTCTCGTTCAAGTATCTGACAGCTTCGCGGAGCGCAAGACGGTAGCCGGTGATGATTGTGGTGGGGTGAATGCGGTTCTTCATGAGTTCGTTTCCTCGACGCAGGAGTTCGGCAGCGATCAGCACGACGGAGGTGGTGCCGTCACCGACTTCTCTGTCCTGTTGCTGGGCCAGGTCGACCAGAATCTTTCCTGCAGGGTCTTCGACATCGAGAAGGCTGAGAATAGTAGCACCATCGTTGGTTACCGTGACGTCCTGCGGTGTGTGAGTTGCTGGGCCTCCTGCTCCCTATTGCGGGACCACTTACTCCAATCTCGTCCACCATCATCTTGTCCAGGCCGCTGGGGCCGAACGAGCTTTTGACGACATTTGCGATCGCTTGCGTGGCGGAAACTGCAGAGGTGTTAGCCAGGCGTGCTCCTAAAAGACCAATCTCCTGGCCATCTCGTTCATGGATGGCGTACCGTTCTGATCACGAATGTCTGCGCCGGAGATCTTCTGGCCGCCGAGGAACAAGGTGCCGTTGCGGGGCTGCTCGAACATGGACGCCATGGTTGGAAATATCCCCCAAACGGCTGGGTCAGGCTGGTGACTCTTGGGATCGGTCGGGTAGGTGTGCGTGGGAGGATGGCAGGTTGTGCAGGTCTGCGATGGGCGTCTGGATCCCACAAGCTACCATCAGATGCTAGCAGCTTCCCTCATGGAGAATTGCCCCTCGATTTTTTTGCCGGGTGCTTTGATTGTTCCTGCCCCGGAAGGCGGTCGCTGCCACAGGGCACTGCTTCCTATCTGGGTTTAGCCCGCAGCGACAGCACAGAGGACCAGGTGGGCTGCCTTGAACCCCACCAGCAAATGAGACAGGGCTCATTTTCCACCTCCCTGGAATTCGTGATGCAACCTCGACTCTTCATTCCAGAAGGCACAAGGTGGCCACCCCTTTGAAACCTTGGTTTTGATAATGGATTAAAACGCCAATAAATCTCCATTGAAGAAACCGCAGAGAGGGTCGAATGGCCGCTCTAGGACTTCACAGAACAGTCATCTGCCCCCAGCGCAACTGACGACACCAGCTAAAAAATGGCGATGAGCCCGAAGCAGGACGCCTAGACTGTGAAAGAAATTTCATAAGGCAAAGTGTGAGATAGATGCTATTGATATTGCTTTTGATGAGTTGGATGGAAAAAGTATGTAAGATAGGAAATCCGTTATGATGACTTCATCTGGGATCTGTGTTGTGATACCGACTAGAACAACGCTGTTGGAATTCAACTTATATCCATCAGTGCTGAGTAAAGAGAAGATGTCGAATAAAACAACGAAACAAAGTATGAGTTTAAGCTGATGATAGCTTGAGTACTATAGGATGGAAGGGCTTCATTTCCGAAAGAATCCTGATATAGAATAGTTGTTATCAATGAAGAACCCCTAACGAAACTCAGTGTCAAGTTAATACGCATCATTTGAATTCTAACAGGAGTGTTGAAAATCAATATAGACCAAACAAGCTACCGAATGATAAATTCAGCCTTCTTCTCAAGGTCTTTAGATGTTATGGGGTGCACCGCATTTTTGGCTATCACAAACACGGCTCTTGTTTCTTTCTCCGTTTTTGTCCGGTCAAGCTTCGAGGTCAGTAAGAAGTTATAGATGACTGGAAGAGGCCAACCTCTTCACCGACTTCTCCGACGCTTTACGGGGCTTATGATGAGGCAACTTTCGATTCAAATGACCTTTTGCTCGATCCGGTTAAGGGTTGCGGCCAACAACCAACGACCAACACGACCAACAACGAACACGACCAACAACTGGCGGGGCCAGTTTGCATCGCCCTTGTTAGTCTTACTAATTTTCGGTTGAGTAGTTTCATGCCTCGTTTTTACAGTACGCGGTTTCGATCGTCGATGTCTCATTGGACTGATGAATAGTTATTACATTCTTCTGCTGTTTCTTTCCATCACAGAAAATGGTGCATGATGCTTCATGTTGCTCATCAGCCCTACCCGCTCTGGCTGGGGGGGCGTTTGGAGCAGCTCCGACCCACCAACAAACGAAGGTCTCAATGAGTCAGAATCAAAAGTCCAAACTGACGAGTTACCAAAGTCTCAGTCATTTCATTACTTAGCGGATTATGCCTGATGCATCAAGGCGGGGCCGCGCCTTAATGGGCTGCTATTGTTGGAGCACCCCAGCTAATGTAGGTACTCCTCGTTCCGTCTCCCGCAACACCAATCGTCTGCCTTTCGTAGCTGAAAGGACCAACAGGCAGCCAAGGTACCTAGCTAGCTGGCACTCCTGGCCAGTCAACACTGCTGCATAATTGAGAGCCACCTCCTACAAGGCCCGCAACAAGTGTGATCAAACCATTCTCTTTTTCTCTTTCCAAATACTCATTCCAGCAGCCTCAGCATCCTTTGCCCTTACTCCCCCAAATGGAAGATGAACACCCCCCTACTCCTCCCCAAGAAGCCCCAGAAGGCTACGCTCGCCCGAATGACCTCGGTTCGTTTGCAAGCACCATATACTCGCTGGCTCGTGGCGGTTCCGACCCCCCCGAGCTTCGGCTTGAGCGAAAAGACTTTTGTGACAGGGACGTAATAATCAGTATTGAGATCACCGAGGATCAAATGCGCGTGTTACACTTGAAAAATGTACGCGAGGACACACTCAAGGAGGCAAAAACTACTGTCAGTGGCTTTCTGGACCAGATAGAGCCGCTTGGTGAGGGCAATGGTACTGGTGGTACCGTTTTCGAGATGTTTGATAGGGTTTATGCGGATATGGATGACCAAGTCGTGGCTGTCATGGGCCATGTTCACGAGCTTTCCTCCCTACTGGCCAAGATCGATACTTCCGTCAACATGTACCCAAAGAAATTGGCATTTAATAGCCCTGACAACATTCACCAGGGTCAATCTTATGATCCGGTCGCTAAGCTTCGGAGTGTCAGTGATGCCTTCTACAAGCAAGTCGAGGCGATCAAATCAAAGTCACAGGAATACTGTGATGACACCCATCCTACGAGAAATGGGTTTGGAGTGACCAGGGCAAACTGCGACGTTCACCAAAATCTCATTGCTTCTATGATGGAGCACAGCCGGAAACGGGACCTCTGGTTCCATTGGGATGAGTCTAGCTACGAAGGAGGCAGTATAGAGCGACGTACGGGCTCTCACTTAACCTACATTGCTTCGTTGAAAGAGAATATGAGAGATAGGCAACACATATTGTGGGAGTGGCCTGAGCGACTGTGGTATCTTGATGAGTAAGTGGTTAACCTTCTGCCATTGCATTATTTGCTGATTTGTCCAGACCACGGTATTGCACCATGTTCAACTTGGACTCGCCGCCACCACTCTTCATGGAGAATGATGTGCGGCCGTTCGCGAGCTACACCTACGTGCTCGCTGAAGGCGGTCCTGGGCCAGAGAAGCTCCGTCCCGATGTACGTGACACCGACATGCTGCTCTTGATAGAAGCCAAGAGTCAGGTCTTCCATTTGTTGCATTTGCACCATGTGCGCGAAGAGACGAGTGCGGCGGCAAAGGCTGCCATCGAGAACTTTCTTGACCACTTCAAATCAATCGACGATAACAAAAGAGGAAGAGTGGACTATGGCACGTCACGCAGAACCTTCCACATGTTCAGCGTGGATACTGATAGTGTTCACCTAGAAATTCTAGAGTTTACTAAAGAAGAAGTTAAGAAGCGTGCCTTGCGCTGTAAATGGGAGACTGACAGTTGGTGGCGCGAAAACGGAGGAGAGCGGACGACCCATCACCAGCCAGACTATTTGGTACGTGTTGACGCTCCTTCACCGCCAGATATCGGCAGTCATATCGTCTTACCAGGGTCAGAACGTCTTCTGACTGGTTTCGAGGAATGACGGCTTTTTGAGCGTTCAAGGTAATAGGCGGCGTTGATCTTGACTTTCTACCCACTAGACGGCAGCATCAACTTGAACTTGCAAATGCATTAGAAGAGTTTTGGGATTGAGGTAGTCTTTAGATCAGGTTCAAGCTCAATCTGAAAGTGAAAGAGATTTCCTCCTCGACTGTGTGGTTCCCTGAATTCTCCAAATTTAGAATACACATGATCTGCTCAGACAAGAATATCCCAATATTCATGAACGCCACACCAATCCTTCGTTAGGTACAACATCACCTTGAGCGAAATGAGAAGCCCACAGCTCTATATGTCACTCGCTAAGCTTTCAGCCATGGTTTCCGATTCGGAGATCAGGTATAGAGAGACAAGGGAACACGTTTAGGAGTAAAGGGGTTTTTGTTGACTACATAGCTAAGAAAAGCTACGAATGAGTACATTTACATGTTGGTTCCTGGTCGCATCAGAAAACTTACCACCTTTGTTTTGACAGCTTGCAAAGCTTCGC